CCATGCAGCAGGAAGCCGAGCGATACAGAAGTCAAGCTGGAAGGGACCAGAAAGCCTGGCCCTGCTCACAGCTTGACCTTGAACTCCCGCTTCCGGAACTGTGAGAAAGGCAACTTCTGAGTGATTGGTATGTGTTGGCTTCTCCCAGCCAACCAGCTCGTACAGCCAGAGCATAGCTGAGCTCCAGGCAGGTAGAGGGCACAGGGACCAAGTCAAGTGGCACAGACCAGTGCAAGCCACCTCTGTGTCATAAAAATAGAAGCTCTCACAGGAGCTCCACCAAGCGGACGGCTGCCTGCTGGCTGTGGGGGTCCCACAGCTAACTCTGGGAACCAGGAGGAAGCCAGCATGCTGGAAAATATCAGCACGTGTGTAGAGGAGTGAAATGGACATTTTGAGGTCTGACTGTTGTTGATGGTCCTTGTCCATACTGTTGGGGAACTGTGGTTTTGTACTTTCAGCTTGTTGAAATCTTTATTTAAGGGTGGCCCGGGCATTTGATGATAAAGAAAACTGAAGATATGTCACTGTAAAAATAAATAAATAAATAAAAGGAAAAGAAGAAAGAGGGAAGGTGGGAAGGAGTGAGAAGTATCATTATGCTCTTAAAACTGTAAATATGAAGTCCATGAAATTTGTTTCCTTTACATAAAAGTAAAAAAAAATCATGCAAGAGCTAAAAATATATCATATATATAACTCATGTATGCTAAAATTCACCAATTTTAAGTACACCATGAATGAATTTGACATACATGTATGTTCATAAAACCAGCACTCCAAATTAAATTCTCAACATTTCCATTACCCCAGAAAGTTCCTTGATGCCACATCACAGTCAGTCCCTTCTCTGGCCCTGTCTCCAGGAAAACACAAGTCTGTTTTGCTATTGATTTGCCTTCTCTGCAAATTTAATATAAGATGGAGTGGCCGAGTGTGCAAGTGTTTGAGCTCTGGCTTCTGTCACTTGAGAAAATGCTTTTGAGAGCCATCCAAATTGTGGTGTGGATCTATGGTCTGTTCCCTTTTGCTCTGAGGCAGTGTTCCTTTGTACGAACCTATACACTTGGTTAACCTATTAACCAGGCTGGAAGATACGAATTGGTTTCCATTTGGGTTATTATGAATAAAGCTTCTATGAACATTTTCATACAAGCCTTGCATAGGCATATGCTTTTATTTATCTTTCAAAAATACGTGTAAGCGGGACGGCTGAGTTCTATGGCACATTTATGTTTAACTTTATAAGGAGCTGCGCAGCTGTTTCCAACATGACTGGAACATTTTACATTTCCACAATGATTTCTAGTTGTTCTGCCTCCTCTCTGACTCTCGGTATTGCTAGTCTTACTCATTTTAGCCATTCTGGTGGGTGTGTTGTGGTATCTCATTGTGGTCTCAACTTGAGTTTCTCAAGTATTTTTCATGTGTTTATTTGTCATTCATTTATCTTTAGTGAAGTGTCTCTTGAATTTTTTTTGCCTTCAAACTAGATTTTGTTTGCTTACTATTATTACTATTACTAGAGTTTGTTTACTTTTAAAGTTCTGTACAGAAGTCTTATAGTATATATGCAACTTACAAATGCTTTTCCATAATCTATTGGCTGTCTTGCCGTTACTTCAGAACATTAATTTTAATGAAATTCAAGCTGTTTGTGTCTTATCTTATAGATCTTTACCTAACCCACAGCCTCTTTGGTTTTCTTTTATGTTGCCTTTCAGAAGTCGTGTGGATTTAACTTCCATCTAGGTCCACGGTTCACTTTGAATTAACTTCGGCACGTGATGTGAAGTAGGATTGAACTTTTTGTTTTGGCATGCAGATGTTTCGTTATTCTGATGCTGTTTGTTGAAGAGACAATTTTCCCCACTTAATTATCTTGGTACCATGTCGATAGTCAGTCTAACATTTATGTGTAACTCTGTTTCTGGACTCTCCATTTGATTGGTTCCTTTCATTTATATCTCTATCCTTGTGTTTACTGTAGCTTTGGAGTAGGTCTTGAAATCGAGTAATGTGCATCCTCCAAGTCTCTTTTTATATCAAAATTGTTTTTGATTTTCCTGGGTACTCAGTATTTCCATTCAAATTCGCAGTCAGCGTGTTAATTTCTAACATACACAGCACACACACACAGAAAGTTTGCTGGGATTTTGACTGGTTATTGTGTTGAATCTATAGATCAGTGTAAGAAGTGACATCTTGGTGGTGTTGAGTTTCCTGACCTGTAACCACAACGCTTCTTTCATTTTATTCAGGTAGTTCTTTTAGATTCATTTTGCCACATTCTCTAGTCTTCATATGCAGATCCTGTATATATCTCATAAAACGTATTCCTAAGCGTCTCATACTCCTGTATCATTTAAAATGGCATTTTAATTTTTTGAGTTTAATTGGCTCACTGCTTAAATATGGACACATAATTGATTTTTGGATATTAGTCTTATACCTGTGACCTTGTTCGATTCCTTTATTATGCAAAAGTAGCCTTATTATACCAAAGGCCTTCAAAAAGTTCTTGGAAAGTGTGCATTATGCTTTAATTACACTTTTCATGAAATTTTTGAAGTACCTTTATATCTATGCTCCTCAGCTCAAAAGGGAGTTAAATTTTCATAAATTTATTGCAAATTAAAAATACTGTAAGTCAAGAATGTATTAAGAGCCTGGCGTTTTGGTGCCACCAGTAAAGCCGCCTCTTGTGATGCAGGAATGGCCTGTGGGTGTTGATCTGTGTCCTAGCTACTCTTCTTCTGTTGCAACTCCCTGCTGAGGACGTAGGAAAACAGCAGAGGATGACCTACATGCTTCAGCTCCTGCACTCATGGGGAGAAACAGATGAATTTCTTGGTTCCTGGCTTAGGCCTGATCTAGCCCTAGCTACTGTGGTCATTAGGGGAATGAACCGGGGAATGGAAGATTCTCTCCCCTCCCCTCTTTCATATGAATAAATAAATCTTATATTTAAAAAAAATCCACAAAGTGGTGTTTTTGGTAAAAAAAAAAAAATGCATTTAACATATTTACTGTACACATGCTTAGAACTTATATCAGCCTGTAGTTGGCAGATTTCTCTAACACAAAGCCTATTTACAATATGGTGTAGGAAATCTGTAAACACACAGATGGACATTTTGTAGACATGATGGGATATGAAAACATTTAACTCAGCATCCAAAAGTCCCTGGCAACACAGGACACTGTAAAGTCTTTTTTTATATATAAGATTTATTGATTGATCTTTATTTGAAAGATATAAGAAAGAAGAAGAAGCAGAGAGAAAGATCTTCCATCCACTGGTTCACTCCCCAGAGGGCCACAGGAGCCAGAGCTGAGCTGATTCAAAGTTGGGAACCAGGAACTTTCTCCAGATCTCCCCCATGGATGAAGGGTCGTTCTCGGCTGCCTTGCCAGGCCATAAGCAAAGAGTTGGTTCAGAAGGGGAGCAGCTGGGATACTAACCGGCGCTGATATGGGATGTCGGTGCCACAGGGCATTAGCCTGCCATGCCACCACACCAACCCAGTGCGAAGTCTTTGTTGTTCTGTTGATGGTCACAGAGCTGACTGGGAACTGTGGCTGCTGCCGCCCAGTGTCTCAAGAGAAGATGGTACTGCACGCCCCTAACCTGAGAGGAGACGTAACTTCACAATTCAAAGTGTGGTTTCTAATGACTGCTTATGACATCCAGCCACTGTGAAGTCCAAAAGCCACAGGTGGAGGCATCCGAAGGCGGAACCCCATCCGTGTATTCCTTGGAGTTTTCCCTAATCGTGTCTTCTTGAACGGAGACAGCTTTGGCTATTCCCATCGAATTTATCTGCCTTAATTTTATCTTTTCTTTCACCTTACTTCCCTGACTAGAACCTCCAGGAACATGTTGTTGAGACGTGGTGATTCTGGGTGTCTGCATCACTCGTCCTACTGTTGGTTAAAGGCTTCCTGAAATCTCCTGTAGGGAAAACCTGTGTATATCCGTTGGAGGTGCTTCCAGAAAAGAAGGGGGAACGGATATGGGCAACCACCATGAGAAAGATGACCCTTCATGTTTGTATCTTAGCTGTGTGTTGTTCTCTAAAGAAACAAGTATGTCTTTTAGTGTGCAATGCTGTCGACACTGAATGTGACCCTGTGAGGCTGTGCACCTGGAGCAACAGCCTGTGTGTATGGGAGGATCAGATTTTGCTAGAGAACACAGTTGCTCTTAGTCCATTGGGAGGCAGTGTGGCCTATGGTTAACAATGCGTCCCTACCCAGCTCTGCAGTGTTGGAATAGTTACTCAATCTTTCAGTGTCACAGTCCCTGCAAAATAAAAGGATCGATAGTAACCACCCTCAAGGCTTTTGGCAGCTAACTTCTTTTGGTCAAGTAATCTGCCTCAAGCCCTGCCCTAAATGACTGTCCCAAGCCGACCTCTGAGTCCACCTCTTCCTCATTGAGGTGTGTTTGCTGATTCCATTCCTGTTAGAGTCACTTCCTTCCCTCCAAATAATAAAAAACAGAGGAAAGATGCTCCTTTCCACGGAGTGAAGGAAAGACCTTCTAACACAGTGACCCTGCAAAGCCACTCGTTGATAAATAAGGGACATAAATGTACAATGGGTCCTGTTTCCTTATTTATGTTAATTCCTCACAATCAAGGCTACTTCAAAAGTTTGTGGGAAAAACAGAATTGAGTTTGGGGCAGGGATTGTGGAGCAGGAGGGGAGCCACTGCTTTGATGTTAGCAGCCCATACAAGGTGCCAGTTAGCATCTTCCTGTTAATGTACTTGGAAGAGCAACAAAGCATGGTCTAGGTGCTGGTGCCCCTGCCAGCCCTGTGAGAGACCTGGGTGTGGAGCTCCTGGCTTTGGTTTGGTCTAACCTTAGCTGTTGCAGCCATTTGGGGGTGGGGGGTGATGGAGCAGATGGAAGACAACCCCCTACTCTTTCTCTCTCTGTCTCTGCCTTTCAAATAAGTTTCATTTATCCATGGCTCTTCTATCACTTTGACAGGTTATGACAAAAAAGGAAGACTTCTTCAGCGCCTGGAACTCCTGTCTGCACCACGTCGCCTCCCTGTCTCTGGCACACACTCACAGAGGTCAGTTGCTTCTCATTGACCTTGGGTGTTTGGCGGGCTCTGGATCTGCCTGTCAGCTTGAAATGCAGCTCTGCAGAGAGGAGTCCCCACACCCATGTGGGCCCTTACATGCATCTAAGGCCCCAAATTCCTCCAAGAGCCTTGATGCTTGTCATAAGCCAACTCCCTACTTGATGAGTGCACTAACCAGATGGCACACACAAAGCCCAGTGCTAAACCCACCAGGACCCACTCAGAGTCTGAGGATCACCACTGGCACTGGGCAGGGTAGTCAGCAAATGCCTCTGCTGACCGACTGCAACCATCATTGTACGTCAACCACTGCATGAACAGGAGGGTGCAATGGGGCCGTTAGCTGAAGCATTCTAAGGCTGTAAACCCAGTCCTCCACTTAGCAAAAAATGGCTTCAGCCCCTTGAAACAGGGAGTGATGCTGCTCTCCTGGGGACACTCAGGCCACATTTGGAGGAGGTATTGGTTGTCACACCTGAGTGTCAGTGAAACTGGAGGGTGGAAGCAAGGAACCTTGTCAAACATCTGACTGGAGCAAGCCAGTCACCCAGTGCAGACTCAGCCAGCCTCAACGTCAGCGCAACTGAGACTGGGAAACTTGAATATTCATTTTTGCCTCAAAAGACCAAAATATCAAAGTAAAAATGAAACCTTGAAAACCTGATAGGATTCATAATAAATTCTCCTTGAAATTATAACTTTAACTCAAGGATGCTAGCTCCTACTACCCGGGGAAATGTATGAAAAATGCCAAGTGCTCACTGAGGTTGTATCCTGTGCGGAATTGTCTCCTCTCCTCTCCTCTCCTCTCCTCTCCTCTCCTCTCCTCTCCTCTCCTCTCCTCTCCTCTCCCCTCCCCTCCTCTGCCCTCTCTTTTCCTCTCCCTTTTCTCTCTCCTCTCCTCTCCTCTCTATTTCTTTTCTTTTTGACATTTATTTATGTGAAAGGCAGAGCTACAGAGAGAGAAGGAGAGAGACAGAGAAAGAGAATTTCTACCCACTGGTTCACTCCCCAGATAACCACAACAACCAGAAATGGGCCAAGCCAAAGCCAACAGCCTGGTTCCCCACGTGGGTGGCAGGAGCCCGAGCACTTGGGTCATCTTCTGCAGCTTCCCAGGCACATTAGTAGGGAACTGGATCCGAAGCAGAACCTCCAGGACTTAAACTGACTCGCATATGGGGTGTTAGCATTGCAGGCGGTAACTTAGGCCACCGTGCCTCAACACTGCCTTCTTGGCAGGGTTTTGTATCACACAGAGTCACAGGTGAACCAGGCAGGGCAGGGCTGGGTTTAGTCAGTTGCACAGCCAGGGGGTAGAATTCTTGAAGTCCATCAGGAAGCAGTGTAGCTGTTATGCCTAGCAATCTGGAGTGCTTGCATCACACTCAGCCTCCCATTCCACCACCATCTTGCCTCCCCAGTCAGTTCCAAAAGAGCAAGGTACGTGGCTAAGTGGCTCTTAATTCACAGCTGCGGCAATGCTCCACACGCTCAAAGCTCTAACAAGAGCCAAGTGGAGTGAGTGGCTTGGGTCAGATTCACATCTTCCATTTGTTTAGGAACCGTCTCTTGGGAGCTTGGCCTAGGGTGAGCCTCATGATGCAGGTTCAAGCACAAGGGCTGCAACAAGTTTTAGTAAGTATGGGAACCCCACAGGAATGTTGACTCCGGGGCCAGTCTTTTCACACAGGGTCCACCCCCTGGACTAACCACAGTCACATTCACATCCCTGGTGCTAATCTACCCCCTGGGCCAAAAGTGAAGGAATGGAGAGAGGCCCCGGGGATCAAAGACAGGGCCCCGACTACAGGACATGCAGGTATGGGATTGGGTTCTCCCATTTGCAGAAGTAGAAGTAATTTATCTGCAGACTCATGGAGTATCAGATTCAAGGAAACTGACTCATCTTACTTCAATTCAAGCCGATATTAAGGCCAGAAGGATGATTGATTTGTCACAAATCAAAATCCAACTGTTGGATCATTGAGAAGCACTTCATTTCTTCGATGGGGAAAGTCTCCATTTGTGAGGCAGTATCCCAAGTTTGTGAGAGAAACTGGCATTGATTGCAGCACAGTCGGATAAGCTACCAATTGTTATACCAACATCCTGTATCAAAGCACTGACTCAAGTCCCAATTGCTCTGTTTCCAGGCTGGCCTCCTGCCAGTATACCTGGGAAAGTATTAGAAGATGGCCCAAATCCCTGGCCCCCTGCCACTCCCATGGGGAATCAGAGGTCCAAGGCTTCCAGCTTTCATCTGGACCATATTTGACTGTTGTGGCCAGAACAAAAAATTCTCTCTCAGACTCTGTATATATGTGTATCATTCTGCCTTTCAAATAAAATTCTTAAAGTTTCTGAGAAATGGAACTAAACAAAGTTGACTTGGGTACAAAAAAATTTTTAAGTTCTTGCATTTGGAGGAGTTTTCAAAAGGTTTACAGAATATGGGCATTACAAAGAGGCTATGTGTAAATGTAAAAAAAAAAATTATTCCAAAACTACTTTCTCCTTCCATTTTCCCAAGAATGTGTTGAAATATTTATGTAGAGTTAGGTTATAATTAGGAGTCAGAGCAGGTTGCACTGTGCAGGCAAGCTTTTGCCCTCAGGCCTGACTGGGGAGCCAGTGGCAGCATGACCTTCTCTGGACCCTGAGTCCCCACTGTCTCTTGCCCTGGACTGTTTCAGTGCCTGAGCATCAACCTTACCCTTCAACAAGTGGATTCAAACCAGTCCTTCCTCTGTGGCCAGCTTGCTTTCTTTTGGCTTCTCTGTATAGGAGGGGTCTTCAAAAAGTTCATGGAAAATTCTTAGTATGGACTGAAAGAATAATTTTTGTATGAAAATATATTTATCCTTTTAAAAATATTTATTCATTTATTTGAAAGTCAGAGTTACAGAGAAAGAGAGACAGAGAGATCTCCCATGTACTGGTTTATTCTCCAGAGGGGTTTACTCTCCGGATAGTCACATCTTTCAGGGCTAGGCCAGGCCAAAGTCAGCAACCAGGAGATTCTTCCAGGTCTTGCATGTGGGTGCAGGGGTCCAAGCACTTGGGACATCTACTACTTTCCTGCATCATTAGCTAGACTGGAATTGGAGCAGCCAGGAATCGAACCTTCTCTGTTTGGGGATGCCAGTGCCACAGGCAGCTGCTTAACTTGCATGCTGCCGTGTCTGAGCTTATCTTCCAATTCCTCTTTTCATGAGGGTAAGTTATAGGGACTCCCAATGAAAAGCTTCTCAGCTTTCAGGGGGTGCAGTTCAGTATGAAAAGGGGAGTCAGCTCTCACTAGCTTCATCCTGGGAAACAGGACAGTGAAGCTACCCGAGCCACTCAGCCAGCTTACTGGGGCGTCACAGAGCTTGGTGGAAGCGTTGAGGACACAGGCTCTGCAGTGATGTGTGGAGCCTGGCCTGGCTTCTGCCAGCTGTGTGATGATCAACTTCTCTAAGCTGCAGTTTAATCCTCATTCTGACTATGTAGACAGCATATTATCTGTGGGGCTATGGAAAAAATAAATGATATCCCAGAATCTTTACCTAGCACCGGCTCCATCGTTAATGGTCCATGAAAACATTTTATTACTGTTAATTACTTCTGTCTGAAAACCTTGGATTCCATAACCCAAAAAAAGCCGTGTAGACTTTTGTTCTTTAAATGGAGAGAATGAGGAGAATTTGGTAGGATAAGTGTCGGCCATAACATTGCCATGGCACAGAAGAACTCTAACTTCACCCAGAGTCTGTTTTAGGAGTGGATACCTAGAGTAGCAAAAAAAAAAAAAAAAAAAAATCGACCGTTTTCAGGAAGCTGGCCTCAGGTTCAATGTCAGATCAAAAGGGTTTGGGTGCATAAAGTAACAGGGGAAGAAGAATCGGCGCTGGTTCAGTGACAACACTCAGAAAGTCCCAGAATGTCTTGAAACACCCAGATCTGTCTCTAATGAGGAACTCTTTCTGGAGACAGAAAGGGTTGTAAGGATAGGAAATGCATAAAGCGTGCCGGGGCCAGGAAAACTTTAGTCACTGCACCACCGCCTTCAAGTGCACACTCTGCTCAGCAGAGGTCCCCAGGGAGCACGAGTAGAAGGAACCCATCTGTCTTTGGTGACCAGGCCCAGATGTGGCCTTCAGAGACTTCCAAAGGCAAGGCCCCCTCAGGAGGCCAGAGCAGGATCAGAGTGTCGAGTGCAGAGAAGAAAATGAACTCCGAATCCAGCTGCTTTTATTAGGAACAAATGGAAAAAGCCTTCTGGCATCAGTATCGGGTTGTCACCTGACGACCAGGGAAAACCGTGTTTGAAATAAAAACGTGCAGCCATCTCCAGCGACTGCTGCAGTGGGATGGTATGCTTACAATGATAAATGGATATTTTTCTGGGATGCATGTTTTTATCAAGGCCTGGAAAGAGCAATTCTGACACGTGGTGCTATCTGGATCCCTCAGGGATTACTGATTCTGAAACTCAAAAGGAGAAATGAAGCCCTTTGATTAAATTACGCCCACCCTCTCTCACAGCTCTGTGCCGAGTCGCCTCTTGCTCCTCTCGCTGTCAGAGCTGGTGAGTAGCTCTCATTATGCAGTAGGAAGTTCCACTTCTGGTTCTTTACAAAGTGACTGATCATTTAGAGTGTGCTCGGGAAGACCCGGTTGTAATTATCATTAGAATCTATAATTGTGTGGATCTCTGCCTGTGGAGGATTAATTTCAGACTCCTCTCAAGGATGGATTTGTTTTGAAACAGGACTTTCTTTGTTCATCAAAACATGATCACATGCATTATTAAAGCATGAGGCACGAGTCCTGCATTTTCTCCGTTAGTTCTTGGTTCAGTATTCCTCCTGGGATCGCTGTTTTCCTTCCTGTGATTAATGGGGTTATTTTTCATTCATCCTGCACTCACCTTAATATCGCCCTGGCTTTGGTATTCGTCTTCTAGGAAATTATGATAATTCACTTTACCACTTCTTTGAATA